CAGAGGGAGAGAGATGAGCATTGAGATAAGAAGGCCATGACTGGGATGTCTATAAGATGCAATGGGACCATTTTAGCACAGTGTTATCAAATGAATGGGTAGCTGTTGTCATTGGAATGTCAGCCCCAGGTAATGAAGGAAACAATTTTAGTGTTTATGTTCTGCCATCCTGGTTCATATCACAGAATGAAATCTAAATATAATTTGGGAAGCTGGATATAGTGCTTTGGCAGGAGGAGGTTGAAAAGGCATGGGGGGATGAATGGTAGTGGGGGTGATGAACTTGGAGTCCCTTCGTAATACAAATCACATGGCCAAAAAAAGGGCAGAGGGAGAGCAGCTGAGAAAGGAAACCCATTCATGAAACAGAATAACATTATGTTCCTCAACTGCTGATGTTTTTGCTAAATGCTAGCAAGATTTACTGATATTTAAAATCAGAATTCCGTAGTTTAGTATCTACTCTTACAGAAAATCCAACATGGTAAAGCATTGTTTACAAAATAAGCCAACAGCTTTTAATTCTGTGTTCAGAAATCACAGGAGAGTTTGGTTGTTAATACTGGGTGAACTGCAGAATAAACAAATCATTCTATCTTAACATTTGGTTTCTTGCCTTAGAAGCACAAAAGGATGCTCAATTATTTGAGGGAAGAAGAGTGTTTTTCCAGATGATTCTTTTACATGAGATGCTGTGTTTATAGTCATTGCTTAATAGGTGATTACAAAATAAATACATTAATCACTTGGGTGATTTACACCCAAGAGTATTCACACATGCTGTAGATACTAATGTCAGGAAAAAATTGAAGAATGCAAGATACACTATTCTTTTCTAAGGTATTAAACTCAATATATACATAAAGGAAATATTCTTAAGGGCCCTTGTTTTATTGAGGTAACACTGCTTTATATTACTTTGTGTTTTAGCAATAGAGACCTTCACTTCTTCAAAGGTATGTTTCCCTACTGTGATACCACCAAAGTACCACTATGCCTCGATTGCATGTAGGAGTCCACTGGACCCCTCTTTCCTTTGCTCCCCCTTCCTCCCTCTGATATCATCAGTTCCACCATCTGAACCCAAGGATTTGTTTTGGTTGGGTTTTATCAGTTTCTTTACTTTGTTTCATTATATTCCACATGAGAAACTCATCTTGCATTTGTCATTTTAGTCCTGACTTATAAAAAATCCATTTTTTTTAACTACCTTCTTTTCACTTTGCCTTTCATGCTTTCCTTTGTTCTAGGATGTTAACAGTTTTGTTCGGCGGGAAAATATTTGTGAGAGAACTGACTGCAACTAGAATTGATATGAGGAAAAGATTATAATGAAAACAAATGGCTGATTTTGAGAGCTGTAGAGTCTAGATAAAGAGAGCTTCATTAGAGTAGTTGCATTTATGTTTCTGGCGAGGGGGCAGAGAAGCAAAGTGTTATTATAAGTGAACATTATTTGTAGAGTCAAGAGATTTGGTTTTAAATTTGAACTATTATGCTTACTATTCAGGAGCCTCAGCTTTATTGGGTATTATTCTACTTCCTTTGGTTTTAATTCACTGCTCCTTTATAAATTTCTCATAAAGATTGTAAGTGATTTACTTTCTACCTTCTTTACGGATATAGCTTTTTAAGGTACTGCTTTTCTTCTGAGCAAGACTTTATTTTTATTTATTTTAAACCTTTTACTTGTTTTTGTGTAGAAGAACTAGGGTGCAGGCCAGAGGTGTGGGAGTGTGGATAAGAGGATTCACGAGAGTATGTAGCTAACAGGTGGATCTACTGAAATACACTGCTGAGGGGAACAGTGGATGAGACAGGAGATGTCTGCTATTGTATGTGGGTCAGCTCCCTGGTTGGGGAATAAACACAAGCCTTAGCAGTGATAGCACTGAGACTTCACCCGTAGGCCAACAGGGAGGCCCTTGAGCAGGACTTTAATTGCATCCCATAGATTTTGATTTGTTAAATAGTTAGCTAATACTGTTTTCTAATGCCTGTTGTGATTTCTTTTGTGATTTAGAGCTATTCAGAAATGTATTGCTTACTAGTCAGAGAATGATTTTAATTTTTTGTGAGCTACTGAGATTTACTTTCATGAACCTGTGTGTGATCAATTAAATAAATATTCTATGTGGCCTTAAATATGTGCTCTGCACTTATTTAATATAATATTGCAGATAAATCACTAAGGTTTTATGTAAATCAGTAGGGCAAGTAAGATTTTAAATTATGTCATTAAAATCTTCTACCCGTATTAATTTCATAATAGTTTTATTATTTGCTTTTCATTATGCTTTTCTACCACACAGAGCTTTATTAAAACCAAACCCTGCTATGGTTGTAAACTGTCTTATAGCTGACCATGGATTGTTGAGAGACTCTAGATATTCAATTACAGTTATTGAGTGAATGCAAATTACTGATATAAATGAAAAAAGTCATTGTGTATAAAATGAGGCAATATCCCAATATCCCAAAAATTCACATTAAAAGAACTCTTAGGAATATTTTATGACTTTGAAAGAGCAAAAGATAAAAATATTGGAAGTTGATACAGACTACGAAAGAGGAATGACAATTTGCCAAGACATTGAAATGATGCTCTATTGTCAGACAACAAAGAGAAAAAGTCATGTCCTGTTCGAACTACTCTTGTTGCTTTTCACAAAAACATGAAGCATTTTAATTCTAAATATTTCTAATTTGAAAATCACAGTGTGCTAAATAACTATTAGTCATACTACTTTTGTCATTTTCTATCCATTTATAACCAAGAACAATGTTTTTACAACATTTAGAAGTCCCCAACCAACCATACTCTATTTTGTGAGGATCACACTATAGGATTCCAGCCTGCAAACAGTCTTGATGCTTCACTATCTCACAGACAAGGATTACTTGTATTTTAATTCACCTAAGATATTTTTTGTTTTTGTCTTCTTCAGTCAAGGTTCATTTATATTTACTTTATTCTGTTGCTTTTCATTTCCTCCTGTACCATTAGGCTACCATTTAATATTATTTTAGAAAACAGTCTGCTAGGTTGGCAGCTATTTGCTATTGTTATTTTTCTTGTTTTCCACTTGTACATAGCTTACAATTATTTTAGTGATTCCATCATTGTTAAAAAGTCAGCTATTGGCCCTCCCTGGTGGCGCAGTGGGTTAAAGCACAGCACTGAGAATCTGAAGCCACTTCCGCATGAGTTCGAATCCCGCCTGCCCCGGAGGAGACCACATGGCGAGCCAGACCTCTCCTGACCCGCCCGCTGCTCCCCTCAGCAGTGTACTTCGTCAATCTGCCTGTTCTGCTCCCCACTCTGTCTCTGGTGAAGCCTCTCACCGTCCCTGAGCCTCTGGCCTGTACCTCAGTTCTGTATGAATAAATAAATAAATCTTTAAAAAAAAAAAAAAAGTCAGCTATCGGCCCTCCCTGGTGGCGCAGCGGGTTAAAGCACAGCACTGAGAATCTAAAGACGCTTCCACATGAGTTCGATTCCCGCCTGCCCCGGAGGTGACCACATGGTGTGGCAAACCTCTCCTGACACACCCGCTGCTTCCTTCAGCAGTGTACTTCATCGATCTGCCTGTTCTGTTCCCCACTCTGTCTCTGGTGAAGCCTCTCACTGCCCCTGAGCCTCTGGTCTGTATCCCAGTTCTGTATGCACAAATAAATAAATCTTAAAAAAAAAAAAATTTAAAAAAAAAGTCAGCTATCAATCCTATTCTTACTTCTTCAAAAATACTGTGATTTATGCCCTCTCTAGATGCTTTTTATGGTATTCAGTTTTTTTTTTTGTCTTTGGTTTTTAGTACTTTGAGGATGATGCGACTTGATGTGTATTTCTTTTTATTTACCCTTTAAAGGGTGGTGGTGCTTCTAACATTGTGACTTAATGTTTCTTAGGAGTTTCGAAGAATTCTCTTCAAATATTTCTTTTGGCATTCTTTCTCCTGTGATCCAATTAGTTATTGTATGCTAGCCTTTTCACTGTGACATCTTATTTTCTTATTCAGGTATTTTGCCCACTTTTAAAATTGGATTTTTTTCTATTAAATTGTATGAGCTTTACACTTCTATAGGCTATTGACTCCTTATCAGATATGGTTGGCCAATGTTTTCTCATATTGAATAGGTTGTCTTTTGATTTTTCTTAGTGATTTATTTTGCTGTACAGAAACATTTTTAGTTTGATATCACACTTGTCTGTTTTAAAGGCTTATGTTGTCTTTATTTTTATTTCTTCACCAAGAAAATAGATTTAATATTTTGTAATACATGCTTCTTAAAAGAGCATGTGATTATGCATGCAAAGTTTTTTATGACTTATGGCAGAGAAATAGATGCAGAATGATTTTTATGAAATGTATTGATTAATTTTAATATACTGGGCACTGTTCTAAATGCTATCAATATTTACAATAATCATGGAAAGTGGAAACTCTTATTACTCTTACTTAACAAATAAGTAAACTGAGGCTAAGAAAGATTATATAACTTCTCCAAGGTTAGATGGTGTGTTGGCTAAACTCATCCCTGACCAGCTACAAAGCACATTTTAAGATTTGCTCTTGTTCTGATCACATGAAGCTATATTTCTCTTTCAAGAAAATTAATGAGGGAAATGAGTATTGAGGGAAATAATGTTGGAAATGAATATTGAGGAAAATGTTAGTTTTGAAGAATCTTGCACAGGTCCTAGAATCAAGTAGTTTATCAGCAAATACTTATTGACTGACCCACAATAAAATCTGTTAGCATGACAGTAGGATAGTAAAATGACAATCCAAGAAGAGGATTTCTAATTTTTCTTTAACTTTTAGTCATGAAATAGAGAATTCATACAGATTAACATAAACAGGGAATGAGAATAAGAATGTAGTCAAAACAACAAGTTTGACTTATGATTTGAAATCAGTTGGTTTTGCCACCCCATGCCCAATGATCAAACAAGAGTGGCTGCATCTGGGTCTATACTCACTCTTCACTGTACTTACATGTGAGTTATTTTACTCAAGTTGTAGAAGGAGCATGATTCCAACCGCTGCAGAGTTGCATCTATTGATAAGTAACTGAATGTCACAAAAATACAAGAAAGAGGAGAACATTAGTTGGGTTTAAGCTCCACACCTACCATTCATTTTCATGTAACTTCTTTGATAGTGGCTTCCTAGATCATGTAAGAAATCATGTGCATGGTTTCTTTCTAAACATTTTAAATTATTTATTACTACTTTTCAGATCCCATGATTTGCAAAGTTCCCCAGTACATGAAGGTCTAGTTTTCCCTCAACTTTCATTCAGCTGCTATTTCCTTCAGAGTCTTTCCCCAAATTTCCTGTTTAGATCAAATGCCCATAAGATATAACCAGCACCATGCAGTTTCACTTCCATTAATGATCACAGTGTAGTTTTGTAAATGTTGGTTTATATTGTTTACCTCATCTGAATTCTCCAAAGTGGATAATTTGGTCTGTTTTTGGTGATCATTGAATCTTGAATGGTTTTCCTAGTGCTTGACATCTGGTAGACTCTCAATAAAGATGTATTAAGCAAATTGATGAGTGATTGAGTGAATATGTGGATTATTTAAAATGGCAAAAAAAGAAAGACACTATAAGGGAACACATGAATAAGAGGCACTTTTAATAGAGTATATAACATGATGGGATTAGAACAGTAGTTTCAAAGAGGCTGAAGAGAAATTCATAACTTTGTAGTGGAATATCCAGAGGGTGATGACTACATAGTCTCTTCATACTTGTTTTACTGATTTAAATGATGCTGGAAATGCAAGGTTCATCTTGAACTTGGTAAGCAAAAGATAACTCTACTAAAAATTTTAAGTGAAAATGAGAAAGCTCTAAATGTAATTTGTAAAGAATACAAAGGAATGATAATTCAAATTCCATTTTGCATATGACTAATGCAGCCAAGTTCAGTGATCGCTTTTTATTGAAGGACATTTCTATGGCATTTGGGGAAATTGATGGTTAATAGATGAATACCATAACAGAGCTTCTCAACCCTGGCCATATAATGAACTACCTTGGTGGCTTTCAATATATACAAAGGTCTAAGACCAAGTCCAGGGTAATTAAATCAACTGGTCAGAAATGTAGCAAACATTTAAAAAATGTTTTCCAGGTGATTATAATTTGCAGGCAGAGTTGCGAAGTATTGACCTATAGTTTGAATGGAATCTGCAAATTATTGTCATTATTAAAATGTTTTCAATGTTTTCCAGAGAGGCCAGAGAGTCACTGACTTGTTCTGTTTGAGCTTTTTTTTTTTTTAAAGATTTATTTATTTATTCATACAGTACTGGGGTACAGGCCAGAGATGCAGATGGTGAGAGGATTCACCAGAGACAAGAGCGAGGAGCAGAACTGGCAGATCGAGGAAGTAGACTGCTGAGGGGAGCAGTGGGCTGGTCAGGAGAGGTCTGATGCGCTATGTGGTCACCTCCAGGGCAGGCAGGGATCGAACTCATGAAGAAGAGGCTTAAGCTTCTTAGTGCTGTGCTTTAATTCGCTGTGTTACCAGGGAGGGCCTGTTTGAGTTTTTAGTGGTTATTGTATTTTAATGGATCTTTCTATTTTGAATAAGCTATTCTCTCAACAGTTATCCTTTAATTTACTAAGTCTTTGAGCCATTTTCACTCTGGATAACATTATATAGATTATTTGATGCAAATATCAAACTTTAACATAGAGGAAATAATAGAAGATAGTGAATTAGTTTACTGTGTAGAAATTGCAGGAATTTATAAAGAGCAAATCTTCTGAAGAACAAGATCAGTTTTGCAAGTTTCTTTTACCTCTCAAAATTTCACCATATTATCGCTTGAATTTTTTAGAAGTATGAAGCTTTTTCAAGGTTTTAGTGGGATAGTCATTAAGACCATGTTAACATAACTGAATTTTCAGATTCTTCAACCAAATGATAACTTCTGAATGTGTTCTTATCATTGTTTGTGAAGACAGCATGTAGGTACCATTCATTTCAGTGAGATGAAAGGAATGACTTCCTACTTGCTTATCCCATTGCTATAACTGAAAAATCAGATTCTACCTCTTCCCTAAACTTATTCTTATCAAGTGAATCATATATAAACACTACAGTAGTATATCATTTATCATCCAAGTAGGATATTTCTGTGAATTAAAATAGGGTGCTATTAATGATTATGCCAGTATAATAGGTAGAAATTTATACTGTTCCCAGACAAACTAACATAGGGTTCCCTGGTGTCTTCCTCTCCCCTAGACATACCATCTCCTTATATTATTCATTGCATATATATCTTTCATTCAACAAATATCGATTGTATGTCAGTTAAGTGGATATTGACAAAACAGACCTATTCCCTTGTTTCAGGAGCAAAGAGTTGTAAGTATTACAACAACCTGCTCATGTCACTTCTCTGCTAAACCATTCACTGGCTTGGTCATTAGGGCAAATTTCAAAGTCCTTCACACAATTCACAAGAACTTCACTTGCTTGCTTACTTCCAGTTTTTTTTTTTTTTTTCTACTGCTTCCCTCCCAGGCTAAGTTCCAGCCTCAACAAACTTACTTTAAATTTGTGAATATACCAATTTTCCCATTCAAACTGGAGTTGTCTTTCCAATTTTTTTTTTTGGCAAGTAATTCAGATCACACATTAGGCACTACTTCCTCCCGGAAGTCTTCCCTGATCTCTGCCCCTAAGCAATATGCCTTTCCTAGAATTCCTGCAGTAACAGGTGACTGACCCCATCATGGCACTTATCACTCTCTTAGGAAGGAAGCTGGAGTCTCCATTAATACTGTTCCATGTGAAGCATTCACCAAAGTGTCACATAGAACGTAAGTTCAATATGTATTTGTTGGATGGATGAATGAATGAAATAATGACCATGCTATAGGAACATCCCAGTAGTGACATGAAATAAGCAATTTTATAAGGGAGATAAAGAAAAATGAGATACTAAAGAGAATTTGAAGCCTTTAGTTTATAGGTCTATAAGTGGTATGCTATAAATGCAGGAATAGGTTAAAAGGATGATTGAATATGTTAAGTTTGAAGTGTTAGTGAGACATCCTGATGATAGAATTTGGAAGGACATTTGTAATGCAGTGCTGAGTTGTCAAAACAGGTCAGGACTAGAGCTATGCATTTAGGAATCAGCTGTACTGGGTGAGCGTGAAGCCAAAAGAATAGTGTTTATTCAAGGACAGTAGGGTGAGAAGAACTAGAATAAAATAAACAAAGAAAGAACCAATATTTAAGAAATTGAATTAAAAATGGAAATGCTATGAAATAAAACAAGTGAAATATAAAGTCAACAAAGGAGAATGAGGAAGAAGTCAGGGTAAGACACAAGTACCTCAAAAAAGGATGAGAGAGCAACAGCAAAGAAACCAAAGGAGAGAGGAATTGGAAAAAGGAAGTGCTGGTCAATTGGAAAAAGGATGAGAGAGCAACAGCAAAGAAACCAAAGGAGAGAGGAATTGGAAAAAGGAAGTGCTGGTCAGACATGCTGCACATGTCTGAAGTGGTCAGACACTTCAGACATGTGCAGTGGGGCTTCTCACGCTCCTACTGTTGGTAGTGAGATGGCACAACTCTTTATTGTGGGAGGATATTTAGTAACATCCTTTACCTCCACATAGGCATCTACTAGTGATAGCCACAATGTCAAATGAAACAATAGACACTTAATGAATGGTCACGAAATGAATACATTTAGCCAGAATATTATGGATGGCTCCTAGTTGTGTTTGTGTTTATTATGCCTGAATTATCCACATTACTATCAGAATCAATTAAATGAAAAATGACCTGGTTATTTCAGATACAGTCTTTGTCAGTTCAACATGGAAGTACTTTTTTCTACTCACTTTTGGGTATACAATTGTTTTTCTATAGTTTGGATTTTTTTTTTTTTGAGAGGTCTAAAATCATTGGCTACATTTATGACAAATATAAACATTTGTTCTAGTAGTGAAAAGTATACCAAGAATAGGATAGGAAAGATGTATTAGGTACATTGTATATATATTTTTATATACATACAAGTATGTTTATGGGAAAGATGTCTGATTAAAATTTTGCCTCATCCCAAGATATTAAAATATACCAAGATATTAATAATTCCAAGTCCAAATGAACTTAGATTTGCCTTAACTTCCAAAAATCATTGAGGAATTTGGAAGTAGGTAGTGAAAATCTAAAGAACATCTTATACACAAAATTGTGATATATCTTAGAAATGCAGATTAGAAATGTAGATGTCATTGACTTAAACAAGTAGATTATATACATAATAAGTACGATTCTTGATAGAAAGTATTTATAAAATAACATTTCACAGTACCAATTTCTCTTTAAGTTAAAAAAAAAAAGACTTACATCCTGGAAATATTAGGCAGATTTGAAAATGCATAACTGGGGATGGTTTTCAGATGAGTCTCGATAAATTTCCTATGAAAATAACAATTACACCATTAGAATTTAATCATCGAACTTTTATAGTAACTCACCTTAATTGTAAAAAACATTAGAAACATGACAGGCCTTATGATATTTATTCCAATATATATAAACACCAAAATTAAAACTTGACCAAAAACTCATAATTTTCCCTTACAAAACAGAAATTACAAAACAAATGAGATCAAATGCAGAAAATACATCTTGAAACTTCATCTTTGAATTAACACCAACTACGTTGTCTTTGGCGATATACTATATTCATAAGTTTATTTGGGCTATTGCATTCATATTATGTACTAGTCCACAAACATGTCTTAAAATGACATCAGAATGCTTACTGAGAGGAAATAAATGCATTTAATGTCACTTAAAGACTAAAACTAGTTGTCTGACTCCAGTCCCGTTACTCATGTAAAGATCTCTGCAATTTGAAAAGCACTGATTTTCAAGAATGTGACACCTTTGTTGGGTATTTAAAGATTATGGTTTTTCTTCCAGTTTGCTTGAGAGGGGAAATAACCAGCTCCACCCCACTCTAGCCATCCTTCCTAAGGAGAGAGAAAAAAGTAGAGAAACATTTATGACATTCACAGAGGCACAGACTCACTGAAGACTGAGACCTTATCATAGGATTAGAAAATATGTCCCCTCCCTGGCATCTTATCGCTGCAGTATTAACGACCTATTTATAGCAGTTTTTATCTATTACATCGTGTCCATCTGTCAAGTACTATATCTGTAACTTGCTTAATCGAAGCATCAGCAAGGTCAAATTAATTTATAAAAGAACTTAATAATTGAAAGGAAGGGAAGTAGTAAGTGACAAAAGAGTAGGCTGTCAGCCTTTACCAAGAAGCCCAATGATGCATTAATATCATTTCAAAAATTCAGATCCCATAAATTCACTATTCTCATGAGCCCCCCATTTATATTCTCTTAATTGGATTGATTAAAATTCTGTTGGTCCAGATCCAAGATCCTGAAATTAAAGAACATTCTACTAAAATAGCTGTAAAATTGGACCATGCCAAGAAAACAAAGGGTAAGAGACACACCTGTTGGGGTTTGCACCCAAGGAGGCTGAGTTTTTCAAGCCCAAAGTCTTGGAAAGTTGTCTGAAAGCATGGGTCTTCAGTAAATACTTATGATAAGATCATACCCGGTGCTTATAGTGATTCCAGGATTTTGGGTTCTCAGGCCTGGTCCCCCAGCCAGGAATGGATCCCAGCTGCAGGGGCAGCGCAGAGTCCCAGCCACTAGACCACCACGGGTTGGTGTCTCACTCAGCTGCAGCAGGAACTTCACTGATGCTCAGGCAAGCAAGTGACAAGAAGCAGATTTGTTTGAAGAAATAGATATAAGGACAATTTACTAAGGAGAAAATAAACAAACAAAGTGGGTCTCCCAGGCCAGTGGAACCAGGCCAGGGAGGAGCGAGGAGGCCAAAATGGAGTTGTGACTCAGGGAATATAGACCTTCTCTCCCTAATTATTATAAAGCTCCATCAGTCTCTTTGTGATTGGTTAGTTTTTGGTCACTATCTCTATTACCTGTGAGAATAGGGAATTCATGGGATCTGAAATTTCTGCAATGATATCAAGGCATTATTAGGCTTCTTGGTAACGCGCGTGTCTTAGTCTCTGTGTCTAGAATTACATGTTGCTTCCAAGTCCTTGGAGTCCTTTTTTATTGCCTTGCCAGGAATATCCTGATGTATTTGATCAATCCCCTTTGGAATCTGTGGCTCTTATTTCTGGAGACTTCCTTATTCTTGCAAGGTTCTTTTCCTATTCTATTCTGACTCTAGAATCTCTTCACTTGCCCTATGACTCAAGGCTAAGGTGGACCTAAATTGTAAATTTCACTAGCTAAAGGTCTTTGGGTTTATTCTGTCTCAAAAGTAAATAACATTTAATTAATAAGAAAATTAGTTTATAAGTTTTATAGTTACTAGTTTATAAGAAAATTGGTTTATAAGAAGTGGTGATTTAGAAAGAAGTTGCATTTCAATGTAATTGAATAGATATTGGGTTAAGCTAATTAACTTTGGGTTCAAATATACCAACATTCCTTCTGAATGGATGAATTTCTGAAATGTAATGTTTCTTGAATTCTGCCTTTCATGTGCACACATTTAAACACACACCATAACACTTGATACTAGAACAAAGAACTCCTACTCCTGATTTAGTTGCAGTTGATGGGATTTAGGACACATAGTCTCAAAACATGGTGCCTTGGCCTGCTGAATTTTTTTAAGTTTTATTTATTTATGCATACAAGCACTGGGGTGTAGGTCAGAGGTAGAGGGGATGAGGAGGTTCACCAGAGACAGAGTGGGAAGCCAATACACATAGATCAATGAAGATTATGTATCTCAGAATAGTTTTTTAGATACTACAAAATGTACAATAACTTCAACAAAGTCAAAAGGAGAGTATCAACAATTCTGGCCAAAAGTGGAAATGAGATATCTATTTGTTGAATGAACTTAGTGAATATATGATGTCTACAATGTAGCCTCAGACTTCAGGAGCTGATTTGAATTATGTTAAATGAATGAATGGCTAGAGTGACAATTGATCATATAAACTGCCTGATCACCTTATAATTTTGTACATTGCCTGGACTAATGCATAGCAATGTGTACACAATCTGGAAAAAAAAAAACCCAATTAGTGAGCTAATTTTCTTTAACTTTTGGTTTACATTGTCTTGATTGCCTCTCTGAAATTTATCACAGGCCCTCCCTGGTGGCACAAAGGCTTGAAGAACAGCACTATGAAGCTGTCTTCAGTCACTGCAGCACAAGTTCGATCCCAGCCAGGGAACTAACCCACATGGTGTGGCAGACCTCTCCTGACCAGCCCGCTGCTCCCCTCAGCAGTGTGTTTCATCCTGCTGGTTCTGCTCCCCACTCTATCTATGGTGAATTCTCTCAACCCCCACACCTCTGGCCTCTACCCCAGTTCTTATACACATAAATAAATAAATCATAAAAAAAATATAAAAGGTCAACAATCACTGTTATGGTCAGGCCAGCAACAGGCTATCTTCCACTTCTTTTTCAAAATGTGTACTTTTTGCTGTTTTTACTTACATTAAAGTATTACAAAGCAAATTAAAACAAAAGCTATAAAATAAAGTCATATGTAAAAACATTTAAATGCCACACACCCCTTATGAAATGACGACTATTAACAACTTGATGTGTATCCTAGAGACTTGTTACAGGGATATGTGATTATCCTTTCATATGCAAAAGACACATTTGAAGTGAATGCTTTAAAAATGCTAATGTTATTATTACATATAAATGTAGTTGTTATATACAAAAATGTGTACTGTTTCTCCCCTTAACAATATATTAAAAAAAAGTAGGACTACACAAATTAAAAAAAGAAGAAAATAAAAACAAATGGGAGAGAAAATAAGCAAGTAAGAGTGAATGGTCAAAGTATTTCACTTTCAGAATATATTTTGACTATAATAAAGGACAATATAGATATGTATTGAAGTATATTTTCTTTTATCAAAAATTTTTGAAAAGCTTCAAGCTGTCATCCTATTTTAAGAGATTCAGTTTATCTCCCTTAGATTGTTCAATGTAAAAAGGAAACTATATAATTTAAAAACTCACAAAACAACTCATACAAGTGGTGCAGGTATTTACTATTAGTGACTAATATATCACATATAACTTGTTGGGGAAACAAAAGTTCACAGTTATTATTTCATATGCTAAGTGGAGTCTTTAAAATTAAGTAAACACGTTGGTTTAAGGAGATGGAAAATTATAAGAGAGAATTAGTATTTAAGCTGATGATGCTTTTTACTTTCTCATGACTTCATTAATTACGGTTGATGATACAATTTAAGACTCATGTTTCCCTTAGGCCCTGCTGAGCCAAGATTTATATTTTTTACATGTTTACATTTGGAAGACATAATGCAGAAATAGAAATGCATGTGAAATACCACAAATTGACTTGCAGATTTTACAGACTCCAATCTAATTTTAAGTACTCTTTTGTGCTTGCAGTTGCAATGGGGGAGGGAAGTCTGGTAAATGTTCATAAAGAGAGCATACAGTTTTCTATGTTTCAACAAGAACAGTTTGTATAATTAAAATTTTCATGATAATCTTGCTTGATAGTGGCTCATTTCACTGAAATTTTAACACCTTGCAAGTCTAGCCAACAATTAACATCTTGTTTCTTACAACGTTTCTGGAATCATAAATACATAGTTTGTATATATGTGTTCACAAGTGTTTGTGGGTTTTAATCAGTGCTGCATATTTCCCATGACAGCCCCCACTAAGAAAGAATGTGTAGAATGAGTGGATGAGCATCACTGAATCTTACAGAGCAGAGAAGGCTGGCTGATCTCTTGTGCTGTGGCTAAGTGTCTGTGTTCTGGGATCACCTGCCTTCCCATTTATGTGTCTAATTTCTGATCTTGTGCCAACCAGATTCTACACCAATTACGTTTATGTTAGTTTAAAATTGTCATCTGCATTTCTGGGGTGTCCTGTTGTGTAATATACCTGTGTCAGTCAGTCATCTGACACTTCATTGAGATGTATCAAGTGTGTCACAGTGAGCTAGTCTACACTGAGACCATATACTGGTAGTAAAAAAAGAGGGAATAGGTGCAAATAATCCCAAATAGTTATAGACTGTAAAACTAGGTTATAACTAGATAATAACTTTTTAAAAAAAAATTATTTATTTTATTTATTCATACAGAACTAGGGTACAAGCCAGAGTGCAGGGGCAGTAAGAGTCTTCATCAGCGACATAGTAGGGAGCAGAACAGGCAGATCAATGACATACACTGCTGAGAAGAACAGTGGGTGAGACAGAAGAGGCCTGCCACACCACGTGGGTCACCTCTGGGACTAGGGATCCAACTCCTACTGAAGTGGCTACAGCCAGCTTGCAGTGCTATGTGCTAATCCGTTGTGCCACCAGAAGAGCCCTGGA